ATGTTTTAAAACATGCAGCTAAAGGTCCTATTACAAGAACAGCTACATCTGTGTGAAGAGACCTGTAAGAATAAATCAATAACTGTAAAACTTGAATTGGCAGTTTCTCAGTTTGAAGCACAAATGCCTGCTCTGGAATTGCATTTTCAGTTTCCTCATACTTTATTTAAAGGTGAAATAGACTGAAGATTTAGGCCTCTGGAAAAACTGTCAGAGATTTTGGTTATTTATTTGTAGACTATACCAATAGCAAGGAAGTAATCTTCATGTTTTAAGTCTTACAATACTTAACACATTGATAGATAGTTCACAGCTTGGGCTCTAAACCATTACAACAATGCAAGAAACAAATACTAAAACATACCTTGTTACAGAAAATACCCTCTATCCACTGTCTTGCACAGTTTGATATCAGCTAGTATCTAACTGGAGGCCATACAAGCATAGTAGCATAGCATTGCATTCCACCTTGTAAGTCCAAGATCTCAACAGGGTGCATCAGACGGCACTCAGCACCAGATGAGCTTCCAGCCTGCCATGGGCTCACATCCCACTGGCTTGGAGCCCGGAACAGCTGGCTCTGTCTGTAGAAGACAGCACAGGAGCACCAAGAGTTGCTTGGAGTAACATGAGAAGTTGTCCAGACACAGAAACTCCATTCCACTACCATAAATCTTCTTATTAGCATATCAATCTAGATCCACTCATGAACTACGGCTACTTTATTCTGCTTTAGTATAACACCCTAGCCAGTATCCCCTAGAAGGTCTGCACCATTTTGGCACAGTGGACACGCCTTTAAAAATTAAAATATAAAAACTATATTTCGCACCAAGAAGATGCCCAACTAATTCTACATGGCTTCAGATAATCAGAAGCATAGAGAAACATAACAGATAATACCTCCTTAAAGTATTCCATGTGTCAGTCTCTCAATAAGAAAATACATTCCATGACAAAGTTGCATAAAAACTAAACTCATCTTTCTTCTAACAGATCGATAACATGAGGGAAATAAAAGGCAATCACAGATGCCTTTAGTTTCCTAAGACCAAGTATTATGATTTCAAAGTCAGAGCTAATAAACACATTAAGAGAAAGCAAATTACAATGAGTATGGAAGCACACCATTAGGTTACCCAAACAACATTCACTGTCTCGTGACAGCACAATGAGAAGAATGAATTCATTAAAGAGGTTCCCTAACCTCGAATCATAAAGTGTCTTAGACATAGCTGTGTGCTGTTTCATGGTACTGAATGCAAAAAGACATATATAATAGCAATTATGAATTGCTATTGCATAGTACTGAATGCAAAAAGACACATATAATAGCAAAACCAGATATGTGCACTTCTTGGTGCAACATTCTGAAATACATTTGGTGTTAGAGAGGATGACTGAACATTCAGTTAGTGGGTTTGTATGCCTCTCCTAGAAATCCAGTTCTCACAATGCACAAAACTACAAGAACAATTTTTTTTGATATAGTCACAAACCACAGCCGTTTTATATATATACTTTCACATAACTATGTGTACATATATGCATATATGTATGTACATGTATGTATATAGATAAATAAATGACCAAGGGACTGGAGCACCTCTCCTATGAGGAGATGCTGAGAGAGCTGAGACTGTTCAGCCTGGAGAAGAGGAGGCTCAAGGAGGATTTTATCAATGTATATAAATATCTGATGGGAGGGTGCAAAGAAGACAGAGCCAGGCTCTTCTCAGTGGTGCCCAGTGCTAGGACAAGAGGCTATGGTCACAAATTGGAGCACAGGAGATTCCATCTAAACATCAGGCAGCACTTTTGTGCTAGGCATGGGCCAGAGCATAGGCATAGGCTGCCCAGACTGTGATTCAGAGAGGCTGTGGAGTCTCCCTCTTGGAGATCTTCAGAATCCACCTGGACATGGTCCTGGGTAACCTGCTCTGGGTGGCCCAGCTTGAGCAGGAGTTAGACCACTTGGCCTCCATAGGCCCCTGCCAACCTTAACCAGTCTGTGATATATATTTATATATATATGTACAAACAATAGTTGAAGAGAAGATATACATTTCACTCTAGTAGAAGGAGCTGCATAAATTTAGTTCTGGGTATTCTGACCTTTTCTACAATACAGGAAGCTGTAGCATAAGAAATGTCAAAGGAAATAATATTTATCTGTTCCACTGGTTGTGTGATAACTCTAAATGCAATAGATTAAGTACTTTATAAATCACATAGCAATCAGGATGAGATTTTTAACATGGAAAGGGAGTAAAATTGTGGTATTTCAGTTGCAGTTAACATGAACAAATCGCCAATTCTGACCTGCTGACTAGAGAGAACTCCATGAGAACTGAAAATATTAAGCAGCTAGCAGTGGGGTTCACAGTTCTCTAGATCCTCTATGTTATATTCCTTCCTTCCTTTCCAGTATATGGGAACACTTCAAGTCCATCTTTTGAAGTCAGGCAGAAATTGCAGGGAAATTCAAAGCCTACCCACACCTAAAAAGCACAGCACTACATTCTAAAATGAAAAACTGTCTTCAGAGGGGTAATCTTGGATTCAAATATTGGCATCATCCACTTTAAATAATATGTTTTATATAAGCATAAAGCAAAACCATGCCCTGTTATCTGTATTTCCATTCCCACAATATTGAACTACTTAAATTACTGGCACAAAATTGCAGCTTTCTTTAGCACAGGCAGCTCCATGGGCCAACTCTGCAATATCATTATCTATAGATTCTAAAGTAGCATCTAACTTTTTCCCAGAACTGTCTGTGAAGTTCCTTAGAATGAACCAGGCTATTTTATTTGTCATTGCCTAGTGCTATTTTTCCTTTGTTTATAAGCCTTTTTCTTTATAATTTGATAATGAAGCTAAAGAGACTGCAAGTAATTATACACGACATTGTAATCAGTTGCAGTATCCCCACCATAACTTCCATATACACACGCATGTCCCATGGTAAAATATTTTCTGAAGAACTGTACCTCTTTCCTGGTGACAGCAGCTAATCTTCAGAAACAAAGCCATAAGGCAGGAATGGACTTACAAATTAGACTTCAGCTTAGGCCAGCTGTTTTTCTAGCATTATTCCCTCTATGACCATCTGGCCCACCTGCTAGTATATCTTTCCCCTCACTCAGACTCTCCACTAAAATGATTTGCCATGCTGGCTGATATGCAAGTACAGATAAAAAGGAAACTGGATTAAATCCAGTTTTGTGCCACTCAATATTTGGAGCTTTGGTAAGGGACCCATTTGACTGACAGTATAATTTAAATCTGTCTCAAGTCTGCTTTAATTTATGCCTACTTCACCCATGACCCAAACACTACCAGAGATTGCTGCCACTCTGTCTCTCCTTCTGGACTATGCCAACAAGTATAGTTATACAGGATTCTCTTTTCTTTAAAGCAACTTTTGTTTTTAAATACACTAGCACACTCTACTGAATGAATCCACTGAAATCTATCTTGTCTATATCTTAAAGGTGTTTCCACAAAACTCTGCACTCCATACATGTGAAATCTTGAAGTTCCAAATCTGGATGCATGCCTGTATATATCAACATTTTCCAAAACAGATCTTCAGGCTGAAAATTCATCCTAAAACATCATTTGGGGCAGAATTACCAGAAGGACACAAAGCAAAGAAATAAGGAAGAGAAGAACTGGAGGGGGTTGAGATTTGGGGAAAAAAATATCAATTACATGTTGTTACATGGTAAAATCCTGCAGTCATGGGCTCTTAAGAATTTTTAGCTATTTTCAAAGGGACCAGCATCAGAATAAATCTTATCAAGGAGGCCAACACATTTTCTGCAGCATTTATTTTCTATATATAGTTAAAACTTGGAAGCTAAAAGGGAAATAACTACTTAAGCATAATTCAGAAGACTGCACAACCGTGACACTGCCTGAGAAATTCAGGAAGAACGTGATGGTTACAAAGTGTATCATTATAATTTCGTCTCCTGTACTGCTGACAATAGTCAGCAATAACAGGAAAGGAACTGCTGAAAAAGCACAAGTGAGGTCAACAGTTTTGGGGTAATTTTTTAAAAAACATATGCAAAAGATAGATGAGGCTTTTTCAAGGTTGCAAAGCAGAGAAAGTGAGGGAAAGAAAAAATTACAGATATGTGACATAAGGAATAAATACAAGAGAAGTATAACAGAGAGGCAGAAAATAAAAAGGAATGAGAACAGAAGGTAGGACTCAAAGGACTACATTTTGATAGTCTCTATGTTTTCAGCAGAAAATTAGAAGTTGACATCTGTGTCCACATTCTGTTTAAAATGAGCTCTTATTACTAGCACTACATTAAGTAAGGAGGCAGAGGAGAAAAGTGGTATCTTAACTGAGCTCAGTTTTAAGCACAAGATTAAAGAAAAAAAATAAGAGGGATTCAATTTCATGTCAGTTCTTGGCAGCTGCTCAGTACTATGATAATGAAGAATGCTGTTTGCTCATTGAGTGCTGATAATATGCCAGAGCTGTGGTGTGCTTTAGAGTCCTTCTGAGATTCTTAGCTCTGTAATTTTGAGACCAGATGGTAAAAACTACTTTTAAACACCGTTTACAATGCCAAATTTTAACAAATAATAAAAGTATAGAGTGTTATATAGACTTTGTCTGGAGAAAAAACAAAAATCAAACAAACAAAAACAAAAATCAAACCTTAATGTGGAAAAAAAAAATCAATTTTGATATTGCTTTTGAAGCAGACAAGTTTAAAAAAACACTTATAATAGATTATTTATTCTTAATGACTCCTAACCTTTTAGCTAGTACTTAAAATGGTGACAAATTAAAGCTCTTCTTATAACTTTCTTAATTTCTATACTGAAAACATTTTTATCAAATGCAACTTACACAACTATGAAATTCAAGCAGTAGCTTGTCAGTAGCTAAGTATGCCTGATAAGGATGCTGTCTGACACCACCTACTGAAATGCTCCAGATTCTCATCTTTGAGCAAACAACATACCTTGAAAGATTCAGTCACATGCTTTGTTGCTTCGCTTGAACATCCTCCAGCCATACACTCGTTCTGACAGCCCTAGAAGGAGTAAAAATCAAATTCAATACTTGTTGCAGAAAGGTTAATACACATTCAGCTAATGCTTTTAGAGGCAGATTAAACTGAATGATCACTCAGACTTCATCATCAGTAAATATATCAGCAAGACCTTTCTTTGTAGTTTCTTTGCATAATTTTCCACCTTCTAGGTTTTCAGGTTCACTTCAGTTGTGTTATTTTTTGTAACTATTTCGGGACTTCAGTAGGAGTGACAACATCTTATGTTAGATTATTGCTCTGAAGGGTATAAATCTATCGACAACAGTATGGGCATTCCAAACTGAAATGCATTGTGTTTTTACACAATTTCATCAGATCCTAATTTCTCTACTAAAACATCCACCCCAGGAGATTTGCCTCTGCTTTAACTCAGAGAAGTGTAACTAAGCAGAATGGAAGAGAGAGAAAAAGGATTTTAGTAAATCCTTTGTTAAAATAAGGCAGTGATAAGGAATGCCCATCAATAAAAATATATAAACAAAGTATTTTGAATTATCTATGTGAAACTTCAGAGTTCTGCCACTGACAACACAGAAAGAAAGAAAGACAGACAGACAGACTATAAGAAAAGGAGTGATGGTTTTAGATATCTTTCTGTTTGTCATCAGAAGGCTAACATGGACAGGTGCAAACAATCTATCCAAAGCCACAATTCCCAGTTCTCACAGTATCAGGATAGCACCTTTGTGGAGTCTCCTGCACTGGCTAGACCTTCCTTGCCAGTGGCCAGGAAAATGCATATTACACCCAACCGCATGCAGGGAAGGAGACAAATACAGCCTGACAGCGTTTCTTGTTTCTGAGCAGCATCTTTAATGCCTGGGAGCAGTGAAGGGGATGGCTAGAAGGCCACGAAGGGGATGGCTAGAAGAATGGCTAAAGGGCAGCACGACTGGTGAGATGGAGGGGATGGCAAAAGGACAAGCTAGCTGCTGAGATGTGGCAGAAAATGGCTGGGCATGGGGGGAACAGCAGGCTGGTCGAAGGGGCTGCCTGAAGCAGGGAGGGAAAGACAGAGGCACTAAGGGATGTTGCTGCTGAGGCTGACAGACAATGGGCTTTCAGCCCTCCAAAGAAAGGCCCTGAGAGGAGCCGGGGAAGTCCCACCCCAGGCAGGAAAGGCCCAGGTCAGAGGTTTAATCCCCTAAAAGAAGAGAAAACCTTTTGGGGCAGACATCTCACGGACTGACTGCAAGACCTTATCCAGGGCAGCCCTCACCCTCTGAGGAGTGCTGTGTGAAGGGCGGGTGGCAGTGTCGTGGAGAGCACTGGCCAGCTGAAGCCTGCAGCAGCCGTCATGTCCTGTGGGGCTGAAGCTGCACGGGCTGCAAAGCGTGACCCACACACAAGGCAAACTGATTCAAAGATTGAAGCCAAAATTCCTTTAAGTGGTATATTCTTTATTGCAGCGCTGGATGCACGGGGGTTCTCTCCACCTATCCTGCATACCCAAAGCGGAAAGCAGTCTTGAATTTATACAATCAATCTATCAATATTCTACAAGCGCCTATACATATTCATTACCTATCCCCGCCTTCCCTCGCTTCTCATGCTAATTAGCCATTTGGCACCTTGCGCCTGCGTAGAGCCTCCCAAGAATTGTGGGCAGGGGTCTTTGGGAGGAAGACCCCCAAGTGTACTTTTCACCTTTGGTCAGGAATCTGCTGAGTTGGCATGTTTCTTAATTGCAAGTGCTGGTTGTTGCTAATTCTTCCATTTGTTGTATCTTTACTGTGTGCAGTTCTGGGCACCACAGTATAAAAAGGACATGAAACTGTTGGAGAGTGTCCAGAGGAGGGCTACGAAGATGGTGAAAGGCCTGGAGGGGAAGACGTACGAGGAACGGCTGAGGGCACTGGGCCTGTTCAGCCTGGAGAAGAGGAGGCTGAGGGGAGACCTCATCGCAGTCTACAACTTCCTCGTAAGGGGGTGTCGAGAGGCAGGAGACCTTTTCTCCATTAACATCCGCGACAGGACCCACGGGAACGGGGTTAAGCTGAGGCAGAGGAAGTTTAGGCTTGACATCAGGAGGGGGTTCTTCACAGAGAGGGTGGTTGCACACTGGAACAGGCTCCCCAGGGAAGTGGTCACTGCACCGAGCCTGACTGAATTTAAGAAGAGATTGGACTGTGCACTTAGTCACATGGTCTGAACTTTTGGGTAGACCTGTGCGGTGTCAAGAGTTGGACTTGATGATCCTTAAGGGTCCCTTCCAGCTCAGGATATTCTATGATTCTATGAATTCCAATGTCCAGTTTTGAGATTTATAGTCCTTACATTTGTTTCTCTGTCCGTCTGCCACTTCCTTATCATGAGTTCCAGTGTCTTGTTTCGAGATATACAGTCCTTGTCTGGGGATTGTCCTTGCCTCCCCAGTGCCTCCCCAATGCCTCCTTAATCAAAACAACATGATCTTTTTCCTTTCTGCAGATCTTGGGAACGTGGCAAATGGAGGTGGGGGGGAAAACAATGTGATCACTGAGCCGTTAATGGACAGCAGGCTTGCTAACAGCAAAAGAAAAAACAAACTCCTAGCCACAGAAGATCTCACTTCCTCCCTTTCTGCCCCAACAGCCAAGGGAGGCAATAACATCCCTCCTGTCTTTTCTAAGTGTCAGCTTTAGCCCTTCTCTTCCTCTTTTCTTTTTCCTAACCCTCTACAGTAAGGCATGCAATCACAACTACAGACTCTTTCCTATCAACTAAAGGAAAAAAAATCACAAATCCCTTTACAATGTACAAACATAATTTCTATTAAAACAATATTTTTTAAAAAGTGTTTCATTTGCCATAAGCCTTGGGGCAGAGGGGAGATTCTCCAGAAAAACAAATCTTTTTGGTAGACTCTGGTCAACAGCATTTTGTATCAGACTACAGCAGAACTGAAGTATTACTTAAACTGGGGGTCAGCCTGAAAAAAGCACTGTATAAACAGGTCCTTGCTTTCCCTGTAATTTTTCATACACCTCCAAATTCAGTAGTAAAATCCCAGGAGACCTCCACAATACCATCAGTATATAACAGATACTTTTTCTGCAGGTCAATTAGATTAGAATAGTTCAGTTGGGAAAGGACCTGCAAAGACCATCAGGTCCAACTGCCTGACCTCTTCAGAGCCACCCAAATATTAAAGTATGTTACCAAGTGCATTATCCAAATGCCTCTTGAACACTGAGGGGCTTGGGCAATCAACCATCCCTGTAGGAAGCCTGTACCAGCATTTGACTACCCTCACAGTAAAGACATTTTTCCTAATGCCCTGTCTGGCCCTCCTCTGGTGCAGCTCTGGGCCATCCCTGTGTGCCTTGCCCTGTCCTTGGTCCCAGGGAGCAGAGACTGGTGCTTCCCTCTGTGCCTCCCCTCCTCAGGGAGCTGCAGGGAGCAGTGAGGTCACCTCTTGGCCTCTCCCCTCCACACCAGACAACCCAGTGTCCTCAAAGGACATGCCTTCCAGCCCTTTCACCACCTTTGTTGCCCTCTTTTTGGATGCTTCTGAGGACCTTACTGTCATTTTCATACTGAGGAGCCCCGAACTGCACATGATATTCAATGTGATGCTGCACCAATGCTAAATATAGCAGGAGAATCACTTCTTTTGACTGGCTGGCTGTGCTCTGTTCAATGCACCCCAAATGCAGTTTGCCCTCCTGGCTGCCAGGGAACACTGCTGGCTCATGCTGAGCCTGGTGCCAACCAGCAGCCCCAGGGCCCTTCTGCTGAGCTGCTCCCAGCCGCACTTCTCCCAGGCTGTGCCTGTGCCCACCATCACTCCAGCATTTCCCTTTGTTGAACTTCATGCCAGTGCTGACTTCCCAGTGCTCCCATCTATCTAGAGCCCTCTGCTACGCCTCTTGTCCCTCCAGAGAGCCAACAGCACTTCCCAGTTTAGCATCATCAGCAAACTTGCTGAGGATGCATTCAACACCTGCATCCAGGTTATTGTTAGAAATGTTGACTACAACCCTTTGGGCTCTCCCATCAAGCTAGTTCATCACCCAGCATGGCACGACCCTGTTTATCTCACAGTTGGACAACTCGTTCACAACGATGCTGTGAGGAACAGTATAAAAGGCCTTTAAAATCCCCCCAAAATTACATCCATGGCCTTCCCTTAACCCACTAAGCAGGTGATCTTATCACAGGAGATCAAATTACTAAGACAGGACTTATTACCAAGACAAAACTAATTAAGCCAACTGATTTTTATTCACACTGCAGTGAATTAGGATGGAGGCAGAGCTGACAGGATGGTAGCTGCCAGCTATATAAGCACAAATTTCTCCAGCAGCTCCAGCTCCACGGGTGGCTTTTCTCTAATATCCGGTATGCAAAATCAGATTTCCTAAGAATAACTATTGGTAAGAGCAAATAGAACAGATAGTCATGATTCTTCAATTTCTTCTCATCTCTGCTTTATGAAGTTGCCCTAAAGCAATTGTTGACATCAGTGCAGAGAGGATAGAAGCTGGATGTTGTTTAATCTTTGCTTTCATCTCTAAGAAGATACAAAAATTTAGTGAATTTCAAGTGTGGACCACCTACAGGAACAGTCCCTTAGGGGCTTGATCATGTCATTCAGTTCAAGGCTCCCACTAAACTCAGTGAAGTCAACAGCTCATTTTTTGGGCACATGCCATTGGGGCCAATCCTGTTCTCCATGTAGTCATTCTTTTTTAGAGATTTAAAATATGTTTAAAGCAAGTAGCTAACTGCCTTTGTTAACCAGACTGAGATTATATTGAGTTAATCCCTGAGCACTAGAAAGACATACCACAATTGCTTTCTAATTGATGGAGTCATATTTTAATGGTTCCATGGCTTTTAAATCTGAAACATGTTGTTAAATACAATAGGGAAAATTACTCCCTGGTTTAGTGCCAACTTTGCCAAGAGAGATGTGCCAAGCATAAATTTGCCCTTTGTTGTTAATAGCATGGTAGATTTAAAACTGCATCCATTAAAACACTGATGCTATCCTA